TAAAGAATGCCGCGACTTAAAGCGATTAAGAGCCTTAGGCCCTGCAAACAATAGAAGGAATAAGGAATTAGGAACTCAGCGAAAATGGATTGAAATGAATTGAAATGGATTCAGATTTTTAGAAATATTGATTCACGAATATTAAAATAAATGCTTTTCAATCCTGAATGCATTTTTATTCATTTATAGGAATCGCATAGAGCATATCTTTGAATCTAAAAATAATATTAGCTTTTTCTGTGCATTGTGAATACTGTTCAATTCAAAATTTTGAATACAGGAACTGCAGTTTTTCAATCCATTTGCATCCAATTGGATCCAATTAAATCCAAAAAAAAGTATTCGCTATTTAAAATACGCATTCGCGCGAATAGAAAAAAATTTCAATCCATTTTAATCTATTCTCGTTTACTGGTTTCAACCTTTCAGAAGGTATTGCTCTGTGTATTCCAATGTATCCGATTTCTGATAGGTTAAAATCGTTTATTCTTTATTCCTAACTTCTTATTATCTCTATTATACGCAGGGCCTTAGAAATCAGAGTGTGTGCCTACCTTTACTAATGTCGATTTTGGCGTCCGCGAGAGCTAGGCAATGCGTGTTGCGGAGGACATTTCGCATTGTATTCGGCTTAGGCGCAAAGTCTGGATCATCCGCATCGAAGGATACGCTTTCCTCAAATTCTGTCAACATTGTCGCCTCTGTCACACTTCGTCGATGCATCGTGAGAACGAAGAACACGATACGAAAACCTTGAGTTGTCTAAAACATTGTGGACAAGCAAGCCGTAAAAATATCATCATTCATACATGAATTGTAAAGTTTAAAATCGTTATGCTGTACGAGTGTATTTTCATTATGACACGGAGGATTACACAAAATATCATATGTGCACACTTTTTACCATGTATAATTCTAATTATTCGAGTACTCAAAGTTGGATAGAAATTCACTGAAAAAAAGTAATAAGTAACTACCAGACATGTCTTATTTAGCATATTGGTGCAATATTTAGTAAATATTATCAAACATAATAATAATTAGCCATATAGTAATATTTAGAAAAGTAAGACGATATCTACAGAACACAAACTGCCACTAATACTACATCAATGTTATAATTTTCTACTCAACAATGTAACTATTACATACAACTTATTATATTACATGTTATATATGTACAACATGTTATATTATATTTATATTGTTAAATAGGAAATTATAATATTAATGTAATGTTATTGTTAGTTTGTATTCTACGGAATATTAAAAAAATTGAAATTAGAGTTTAATCGTCTATGCAGCACAAATGATCCCAATAATATTGCAGCAACATTACAGCGTTCTAATAATATGTTGGAGCAATGATGCTACAAACTTCTGTGCTGTACAGTTTATATTAACCGAACATTTGCCCGGTAAAAATTTTTTTATGCATTAATATGTATAAATATTTATAAATACGTATAATCATATGTCCATACATATTCATACATTCCTCTTTTTTTTGTAAAATTACTTTTTAGTGTAATAGACATAACAACGTGAACATAAAAAATAATTAAAGGGATAATATTTGCATTGTTCGTTTTAAAAAAAAAATAAGTTTGGAAAAATGTTAAAAAAAATTACTCATACACAAATTATGCATAATTTTATATATAATTATACATAAGTAATTTTTTTACATTTCTGCGAACTTGATTTTTTTCTAAAATAAATAGTGTGAAAATTATCCTTTTAATTATTTTTAATGTTTTCACATTGATATTGTTAATTCCATTATACTAAAAAGTAATTTTATAAAAGAAAGAAGGAATGAACATGTATGGACATATTTTATATAAAATTATGTATGTTTATATAAATATTTATGTATGTTTATAAACATATTTATACATATACATGGATGAAAAATTTTTTACCGGGAGTTGCAATTATTTTACTGAAACTTTAGTTATTATTTTATTTAAGTTTGATCATTATTACCAGACTTTATTTCAATATGCATTTTGCGTCATCCGTCATAATTCAATTATTTTGACTCTTTCGCCGAGATCAAGCTAGCAGTAAGCAAACTGAAGTTGGCGGTATGTCGCGCAATTACAGGATTATGCAAATTGCGCAGCGATAATAACTATTACCTGTAATCTGCAATGTATAATGCGAATGTATATCACATCGACATGTTCAGCTCAACTTGTCGTTACTGTCACCTTCGCGACATTCACTATCAGTTTCATGAAAGATTCGGAGAGCCGTTCTCTTTTCTCTCTCCTTCTTTTTCGTTGATCTGCACGCGACGACAAGCAGCGGTCGACTGACACCTGATGTACGTTATCGCACGGAAAAATCGTCATGAATGGCCTCGCTGACGAATGGCGCGCGGCCAACTTCAAGACGATGTTACAAAGACATGAAGTTCAGTCGCTTTTCATTTTTCTTTCAAGGATTTGCGATTTGCAAGATCGATAAGAGCAACTTATTCTTAAATTTATCTTTTTTAAACTCTCTTTAAGTCCACGTTTTGGTAACAGAAAGACTATTACGCAATAGCTTTGTATGTGACTTTATAATGCATACTGCGAGGAAGTAACCACTTAATTTAATCGTGGAACCGAGTTCTCGAAGTCATTATAAAATTTATATGAAATCTCTATGTATAATCCAATAATTACATATATTATGCAATCATAAGAAATCATTGTATAATATTAAATAAAATCGTATATTTTACCAAATGAGACTTCATATGTAATGAAAAAAATTATTTGTAATCAAATGAAACCATATGAAATCATGTAATTAATCTGTGGGACAATATTTTATCTAGTAGTTACTTCCTTGGCATATTGTCGTATTGTTAATATTGTCACTTACAATTGGCACACTCTGAGACGCTAATGCGTGCGCTAATGCGTATTTTAATTTTGCGAAATTTTCGCAAGGAATTGCAATATGTCAGGCTGTGAGTGAAAGAAAACAATACCCACAAATGCGTATGTAATGCAAAGAATTTTTTTAATAATTTCGTAACATACACTGCATTACACTTGTGCACTCTGAGACTCTACTGTTTTGTGCGCGATTTTTTTACTTTTTGAAAATATGAATTTTTTAGAGACACTGTAGTGTGTCAGAATGTGAGTGGTGAGAAAGCAATACGTATCACATGTAATGCAAATGATTTAATAAAATAACTCCAAAATGTATATTATATATCTATAGATATATAATAGACTGAAACTACAATTTATAGAGGCTGCGTTCCACTTAACGCTTGCAACGCTCGCGAGTATCGTTTGTCCTTATTTAATATTTGTTAAACGACAAGGATGAAATGATTCTACGAGCGTTAAGTGGAACGCAGCCAAAGTTACTCGGTTAAAAAAAAAAGATAGGAAGAAAAGGATCTTATTTTACAAGTCTGTAAAAAAATCTATTACAGAATAAAAAGAAAAGCAGCCAATTTTGCTTCGTATATATGTATATGCATTGTATATATTTCATACAAAAATAACACATCTTAGTTATTAGTTCTGTGGAATTATGCAAAGTTCAATGATGAATAATATATTTTACATATTTGATAATATTAAATTAATTGAAAAGCTTGCGTATATACTTTCCTGCTATTGTCTTTATTATTCTTTATATAGAAGTCATACGAAAAATATAAAAGAATTTTCTTTGGTCGATAAAATGTGATAAAATATTCTTATTTTATTAGTGTATTATAACTGACATATAATTAATAAAAAATATACGCTTAGGCAATGTATTGTTATTTTAAAATTGTCTATATTACTTTAATATAATCTAAATTATACTATATTTTCAGTACAGTGTGTAACCAGATGTTAACAAAAGAATATTATATATACATACATATATATAGAAAGGAAAGGCCCCTATTGTGAGATACCGAGTTCATTTTGGGTAAATAGAAATCTATAGGCAGAATTTAAAAAAAGAATAGGTCATTTTGAAGGAAATTTAATAAGTTTTAAGATAACGTTACATAAAATTTAATTCAAATTCCATTTTTTTGAAAATTAAAGAAATGTAAAAAGTGAACAAATCGCAAAGTCAAAAAATTGTGCTAATGAGATGCTCTGAGAATGTAATGCCCCTCGATAATAAAACGCAAAATATATCAGTTGCAATTAAAAAACTTTAATGTTTCTAAAATACAAACAAAGTCAGCGTGCGCGAAAAATGAGCATGCGATAGATTATACTCAGAACTCGTTTTCAGATTGGAATCAAGTGTCGCAGATATAGGCACTCGACGTTCATTCCGATTGTCTTTTTTTATTATTGTACAATAACATTTATATTTTAGCAACGATTTTCACTATAACATAGGAGTATGAGTTATTTCATATTAGGAATACCTATCTCATATAATACGATTTCCATGTCTTATGGTTTTACGATCATCAAATCTAATTTCTGTAATTAAACAATTCAACATATCCCGTATTTTTCTATTAATACGACCTTACTCTATCATTACATGAAGAATTTATTGCTAAATATTTATTTATTAAATAATAAACAAGGTTTAAATGCTCATCTCAATGAAACTTAAAGACATCCAAATTCTAAAATCTTGTTTTACAATGACTACAGGCATGATTCTAATAATGAATTTTCTACTAAATAATTTTCAATCCAAGAGCAATAATCATGGTGGAACCAATAGATAACATTTATTAATTTAGCAGAAACGGCGCCTATCTCATAATAGGGGGCTTTTCTCTATATATATAATTTTCTTCTTACTTTAAATTTTCTTTATTATCTTTAAACAATGTTACTATATTTTTATTTTATCGTAAAAACTAAACTGTAAAGATAACTATAAAGATCTTTGTAACATCTAATATATTAATATTATTAAAATATTGATCTATTAAGAAAATAACTACGCAGCTGGAACACGACATTGTACAAAAATAATTTATAAATAATATACCAATTATAGTATATGTACTGTTACGTACTAGATATATTTATTCGTTCTTCATATGCATTCCAAAGTTCTTTTTTGTATTCTAAAGTGGCCTTCAGATAACCGTTACACGCCTCCGTGATACCCCTGCCAACGACTGCTAAATCAGCACCTGCATTAATAACCGATTGTGGATCGTTGTATTGCTGACCTAGCCCGTCTACACTTTTGGCAAGCTTGACACCAGGTGTTAACTGGAGTAGTCCAGGTTGCGCTGAGAGATTAGATTGACATACGAATCCTACCACCAAATCAGAGACTTCCTCTGCCATTGAAACTGCGTTCTTTAGATAATCACCAGTCGTCAATGCACCTTTGCATGACATCTCAGCGACTAAGAAAATGCCACGGGGCTCAGTGATATTATCTAAACTTTTCTTCAATGCGTCAATGACGGATACACCTGATATCGGATGTACCGTAATCAAGTCGGCCCATTCAGCTATCTTATAAAAGCCGTATCTGTATTGTAACGACACCGTGTTACCGATATCGCCGAACTTGCGATCTTCCATCAATAAAAATCTGTGCTGCCTCGCTAATTCTTTGAGCCGAAAAATAAAGTTTTCATTGAAGTCCTCTATGATATCTACGTGAGTTTTCAGCACGGCGATATGAGGTCCCGCTATGTTTGCTAATTCCAAAATTGCATCCATTTTTGTTAAGTCTGCCGCCAAACAGAGATTGGTTTGTTTTGATTCCATTAGCTCCAATAGTTTTGAAGCCAATGGATTTGTTGTTAATTTTGCGCGTTTACTATATGACAGTTTCAATCTATTATCTGGCACACCTATAAGCAACATTAAGATGACAAAATTACAATAAAATGTTTTATATATCTAAATATATACACCTATTTACATGTATTTACAATAGAACTCTGTTTATCTCTAAATATGTCAAAGGATAAGAAAAAATTATAATCATGCTTCAGATAAGAGAGATTCATCAGCTTTTCTCTTTATCAGTACTTATATTAGTTCCGATAATATAAGTTAACATTCAGAAAAAGCGTCAGCAGTAAGTTGAGCTCCTATTATCTGGCGCCATAGTTCTGATAATAACTATGAGACAGCTATGAGTTTGTATATTTGGAACTGATTATATTTGGAACTTGTTCATATAAATGGAATGCAGATAAACAGAGTTTTACTATACATATAAGCATATAAGCCATAAATTAGAATATAGTAATATATAAGTCATAAATTATATGTATTACAAATAATTTACCTTGAACAGAAATGCTTGGTGCCCGATTTGCTGCCAAGTAATTGTCAACATCTTTGACTATTTCAGGTGTGATCTTTCCAGCCTCCAGGAGATACTTCATAAGCTGTGTAACCACGAACAAACTCTTAACTTTAATTTCATGATTTTCAAGATTCCTTTTCCCACCTTGCTCCCTGTCGATTAGCACATAAGCTTCTGTCACACTTAGATTTTCCTTTTTCAAGACATCGACAGTTTCTAAAATACTGCTTCCACTCGTTATAACATCCTCAATAATCACGCAATTTTCACCAGGTAAGAAAATACCCTCAATTAAATTCTTTGTGCCATAGGACTTTGCTTCTTTTCTCTTCATTAACATTGGAATCTTCTCTTCTACTGATATCAAAGTAGCTAATGGCAATGCAGTATATGGGACACCACAGATTCGAGACACTTTCGTAGGATTATCCACCAATGTCCACAGAGTTTTTGCCAATTTTAACTACAATAAAAAACTAAACATCATATACATTACATGACACATAAAACTGAATTCCGCTAAACTTCAATTAACTCAATTGGCAAAACCACTTACAACAAAATATTTGATTGTACAATCTATTGTCTTTAATTT